ACCATGACTATCATTTTTACAGTGAAAGGATACAAAGTAAAAGGATTAAAGGGAAGAAGCACCTGGGGTGAAGTCGAAACCAGGCACAAATTTCCAATCTTGGAACACACATGACGTATTAAATTCCTTCAATGTCAATTTGTGGGAACTTGTCCAATGGCTACTGGGGAACCTTATTATAGACTAGTCAGTGACCGAGGTTTTTACTGGGCTTGGTAACATAGGCACCCTCTGCCTGGCATGTACTAAAATTTCAGACTCCCAGAACGAAAACAGATGTTCAGCATCAACCATATTATTTGCCCAAAGCCTCTAGGTACATTGAGCCTTCCTTGGAGATGAAGAAATTCTTTCTGTGGATAGTGGCTTCCGCTTATGCTGGAGAGTTGCAGGTCGCCTTCTTGATAACCTGCCTTGTCAGTTTTGAGCAAGATGCCACCATCACATAGTCCAGTTCCTTGCAATGTATTTCTTAATGTGCATCTCCTACTGGTTCTCTTTCTTTGCTTCAACACTAACTGATACAGATTTTAGTGCTGGCTGTAGCTTTAGAAGAACAGGATTTTAAGGATAAGTTATCTTTTTTTAATTATTATTATTCATGCATTTGCTGAGTATGATAAATTTATTTGAGTAATATATCTATGAGTAGAACCAAAGGGTATACGGTTTGAGTATGGTCTGTTTTAGTAGATACTTACAAGTAGAATTCCAAAGTGTTTATGTCAATTTACTCTCCCACCAGTATTATCCAAGTGTTGGTGTATTGGCCAACATTTTTTTCCTCCCAGTCATTCTATTCTCCTTCTTCTATAAGCATCATTTTTAATCAGTTTACTTTTGGCCATTTGCTTTTTTCTGAGCTCTGGTGGCATAGTTCCTTAGGCATTTGACTGCTAACCAGAAGGCTGGCGGTTCAACCCCACCAGCCACTCCTCGGAAGGAAGGTTGGGCCATCCTACTTCCATAGTGATACCGCCTCGGAAACCCAAGGAGGGGTCACTGTGAGTTGAGTTCAACTCCACAGCAGTGAGTTTGGTTTTTGTTTTTAAATGGTTTCCTTATAAGCATATAGAGTAAGTATTCAGAATAAGCCTCGTGTTTCAATTTGGTTGAATTTTATTATTTTTAACACCTGGAACCTTTTGTAGCAGGCTCTGGTCTTTCTGTCCTTAGTCCTTTGAACTTGTCTAATATGCTACTGAGCTTCTCAGATTTTCAGTTAATAAAATCGACACACTCCTAAAGCGGCACATCCACTGTATACCAAAACCCAAACCAACCAACCAAACAAAAAACCCTAACCAACCAACCAAACAAAAAACCCTATTGGCCTCAAGTTGATTCCACCTCAAATGGCAAAGCCTAAACTCGAGAATTTCTGAGAGATTTTGGGAAATGAAACCTACAGCACAGTGCAGTCCCCTACAACATCAGAGAGCAGGGCATGTTTTCATTTGGACATTTGGGGAGATTTGGTCCAGAAGCTCTGGTAGCACAGTGCCTAAGGCATCTGACTGTTAACCATTAAGGCTTGTAGTTCAAACCCACCAGCCACTCTGCAGAAGGGAGACTGGGCAGTCTATTTCCCTAAAGATTTACTGCCTCAGAAAATCACCGTGAGTCGAAATGAACTAGAAGGCAACGGTTTGGGTTTGGCTTGGTTTGGTTTGAGTGCAGAAGGCCGTTTTCGGTCTTTGGTATTCTGTGACATACTGTCCAGCTCCGTGTAGTGTCACGTATTCCGCTGCAGTAAAACATTTGCCTCAAGAACATTTTTGCAATTGTAGGTTCCAGAACTCCGCGTAGTGGCAAGCACTTCCGTTCTAGGTGGCCAAGGTGGGGAATTCTGGGAAATGTAGTTCAGGCACTCAGGGTGGTTGAAGGCACTTCCGCCTCAGCATGTCGGTATAGGAGCCATCTTTTCCTTGCTGTGGTGATTCTGGTTAGCTCTTCAAGACACATTTGAACCTTCTCAAACTCGGAAGGAAGGTTGGGCAATCCTACTTCCGTAGTGATACTGCTTCGGAAACCTAAGGAGGGGTCGCTATGAGTCGGGGCTGACTCGACGGCACATAACAACAACAACAACAACAAAAACTACTCTTGGGATCAACAGCTATTGGGCTTTTCGTTTGAGGGGAAAAAGGAGAAACAGCTGAGAGCGGAGGTTTGCGGGGCGAGGGCGGTGATTTGCATTCGCCTGGGTGGAGCTGCTTCTCGTTTGCAGAGTTCCCAGGTTGGGGTGGGCCCTGGCTGTGCATCACTGGGTTTGAGGCTCTTCCAGGCAGTTTGCTCGCGTCTCCAGTCTGTGACCCCAGTTGCTTCTTTATAACGGTAGGACGTTGGGCGAATTACTTAGCGTCTCGGTGCTTTCCGTTGCTATTTTGTAAGAGGGGAATGATGGGTATTTTCTAATAGTGTGTTTTGTGAAAAAACGACATATTAAAAGTAAAAGGCTTAAAACTCCTAGCAGTGATTGTTGTTAATACTACTGTCATTCTTGTTAATACTACTGTCATTCTCCAAGAAGCCCCCATTTTGCAGTGAGCTTCTGTAAGCCCTGGCAGCTGGACTGACCTGGACCCCTTCTGACCCCTTTTTAGGCAGGAAAGTATTACTTCCATCTGGTACCCGGGGATGCCACTGATTTATAGGAGGTGGAGACCAATCGTATTTTATGGCCTCCTTTCTTTCCCCAGCCCTGACTCCTCAAAAAACACTGCACAGAGATGGGGGTAGTGACTCCTTGACTACTAGCCAAATAGTTTCTCATCTACTTTATTTCATTTCAAATATAGAGGTAACATGTAATCATTGCAGAAAATTCAGAAGATACATAAGTATGTAAAGAAAAAACTTGATTAGTCATAACCTTAGGATGTAAAGATAACAACCATTCACATTTTAATGTGTGCTTTTTTAGTTATTCTTGGTGTATATTTCTGTTTAGTAAAGACTGTATTCTTTGGGAATGATAATGTTGGGTGCTGTTGAGTTGTGTCCGACTCATAGCAACGTTATGTACAACAGAACGAAACACTGCCGAGTCTTGTGCCAGCCTCACGATCCCTGCTATACTTGAGCCCATCGTTGCAGCCTCTGTGTCAGTCCATCTTGTTGAGGACCTTCCCCTTCTTTGCTGTCCCTCCACTTTACCAAGCAATGACAGTTGTTGTTGTTGTTGTTGTTATGTGCCGTCAAGTCAGCCCTGACTCATAGCGACCCCTCCTTGGGTTTCCGAGGCAGTATCACTACAGAAGTAGGATTGCCCAACCTTCCTTCCGAGGAGTGGCTGGTGGGTTTGAACCTCCAGCCGTCTGGTTAGCAGGCAAGTGTCTTAGCCACTATGCTAAACGGAAACGCACCACCATCGAGTTGATTTTGACTCACAGGACGCCCCATTGAGTTTCTAAGGCTGTAAATCTTTACAGAAGCACTCGGCCTCATCTTTCTTCCATGGATTGACTGATGTGTTTGGACCACTAGCCTTTTGGTTAGCAGCCAAATGCCTTAACTGCTATACCACCAGAGTTCCATATATATATGTGTGTTTGTATACATATACATATGTGTATACATAGATACAGACACACACACACACATAGTCCATGGATGGTGCAAACAGGTGTTGCCCTGTTAGTTAAATGGTCAGTAGTACAAACCCATCCAGAGGTGCCTTGGAAGACAGTCCTGGAGATCTGATTAGGGCATGAAAACCCTGTGGAGCAGTTCCACTCTGTACACATTAGTTGCTAAGAGTCAGAATTGACTGGATGGCAACTAACAGCAAGCACATGGACTATTAATCTATTGCAGACTCTTGTTGTTATGTGCCATCGAGTCAGACCTGATTCATAGCAACCCCTCCTTGGGTTTCTAAGGCAGTATCACTACGGAAGTAGATTGCCCAACCTTCCTTTTGAAGAGTGGCTGGTAGGTTTGAATCGCCAGCCTTCTGGTTAGCAGTCAAGTGCCTTAGGCACTACGCTACCAGAGCTCCTGCAGACTCTTAGGTTTTATTATTTTTACTGCCTCCATGCATACATATCAGAAAGGCATTTCCTGCTTGAAATGAAACTTCACACATTTTTATACCTTTTATTAAAAAATATTTAATGTCAACTTAAATGTTATCAAGGTAATAAATTCTTAGGGAACAACCAGAGATTTTTCAAACATTAAAGAAATTTAAATGTGACAAAGCCATGTCCTCTGACCTCCCAAAGAGAAATCACATTAACAAAGATAATTTCAAACTACACAATATTACTTGCTTATTTGCAGTTTCAAGGAGATAAGAAACACTGACAGTATCCTACGTTTTCCCCTAAGGGAAAAAAATGTCCCATTAAATGGGTACTGTTACTCTGCCCACTTTGCAGATGACATGATTGAGGCACAGAAGTTTTAGTAATCTGCCCAAGATGACAAAGCTAGGGAATAGCTGTATCAGGATTTCAACCCACACCTACTGGCTCAGGAGCTCTGGTAGCATAGTGTCTAAGGCACTTGGCTGCTAACCAGAAGGCTGGCGGTTCAAACCCACCACTCCTTGGAAGGAAGGTTGGGCAATCTACTTCTGTAGTGATACTGCCTCGGAAACCCAAGGAGGGGTCGCTATTCCAACTCGACGGCACATAACAACAACAACCTACTGGCTCCGCAGCCTGCTTTTAAATACTTTGTCTCAATCTGTTCCATGCCCAGGATAATAATTCCTGCCTGAGAACTTAAGGCACACTGGGGATGAGGACACTGTGTGTGGTTGGGCACACTGTCCACTACAGTACTACTGAAAGGGTTAAAGGGTATCTGTTATCCATGCCATGCTTTACCCATCAAGCCCTGTGCACCTGCAGCTACCCAAGCAATAGACACCTTTGTTAATTCCCAAGGAGCAGCATCATGGGTTAGTGACACACTTGACACACTGATTTCTTTTTCCTTTCCTAGTTCTTCCTCCAAAGACTCTGCTTGCCTAGAAGGAGGACAACAAAATGACCATGTTCAAGGTGAGTAGGGCTTACTTTTGCTGTTCAAATGCCATTTTAATACTCAGAGACAGAACATTTCATATCTTCAGCAGCATTAGGGAGAGTCAAGACATTTGAGGACCTGTTGGGTATGCCAGGTACTTGTTTTGTCCATTTAAGTTTCATTTGGTTTTTTTTATTTCACAAATGTTGTTGTTGTTAGGTACTGGCGAGTCATTTCACAAATAAGAGTAGAAAATTCATAGACATGAAAGAAAAACTTCTACCTTACTACTTTCCTGATTACTACTTAGTTGCTTACATATTTCATAATCTGTTCATTAGATGCATTTGTATTTATATATGTGTATTCATAATATGAAAGCTCTGGTGGCAGAGTGACTAAGGAATCTGACTACTATCCAGATGGTTGGAGGTTCAAGCCCACCAGCTGCTCTGTGGAAGGAAGATGGGACAATCTACTTCTGTAAAAATTTACCACCTCAGAAACCCAATGGGGGTCGCTATGAGTCGGAATCAACTTGATGGCAGTGAGTTTGGTTTGGTTTTTTAATTCAAAATATAAATAAAATTTTAAATCATGCTTTTTTATTTAACACTATGTTATTTAACACAACATTTGTTAGTGTGATAATTTTTGTTGTTGTTGAAAACATACACAGCAGAATGTAAACCAGTTCAACAACTTCTACCTGTAACATTCAGTGGCACCGACCGACATTCTTTGAGTTGTGTAACCTTTCTCACCTCCCTTTGTGAGTTGTTCCTTCCCCATTAACATAAACTCACTGCCCTTAAGTTTTCTTTCTCATCTTTCACATTGCTATTGTCAACTCGATCCCATGTAGACAGATCTTAAGAAGAGCCCAGTGTTCAAGGCAGGCACTCTGTACCAGTTAAGCTAAACTATTTTTTGGTTTTAAGATTTCAGGGGATATTTTTAATTTTATTTATTTTTAAATTTTATTTTGATTTGGGTGAAAATTTACAGAGTACATTCACTTTTCATACAGCAGTTCACATATACTTTGTCTCATGTCATTGACCAAAATTTACAATGCAACAGATCCCCTCCCACTTTCTCCCCATAGTTACCTCTCCCCAGTGACCATCCCTCCATACTCTTCTGTGCCCTGAGCTGTCTCCCTGTGCATAAGTCGCCCTTCCTTCTCCCATGATTGTTCTCTCTAGTGTGTGAGTCTACTTGAGGTAAATGTTTAACTCACATGCCTGTACTTTGTTTGGCTGGAAACCACAGTTGTGGGTTCAATTCCAGACCTGAAGGGCAGCTAGGGGCCATAGTCCCAGTGGTTCCACCAGGCTCCATTGGACCAGTAAACCTGGTCCCCACCTTCTTTTTTTTTTTTTTCCTCCAAATGATTTTGAGTTTTGTTCCACATTGTTTCCCTCTCTATGCAGGATCTCCTACATCCCTTCCAAGTGGATGACAGTGGTAGCTGGGCACCATCTAGTTCTTCTGGTCTCATAGTTGTATAGGTTGCAGATCGGATGGTGTACCAGTCGCTAGGACTGATTGTTTCCATTAATTTTGGTTTTCTTCTTTCTTCTTGACGAGGAGAGATGCATTGTTGCATCTAGATGGCAGCTTGCTAGCTTTTAAGATCTTCAGGGGATATTTTTGGTTTAAAGATTATCTCAGGACAGTTGTTTCAGGGGTTCATCAAGCCTCCACTGTTCAAGAAAGTCTGGAGTCCATGAGAATTTGAAATTTGGTTCTGCATTTGCACCTTTTCTATAGAATCTCTGAACAAACTGTTCATTTGTGGTAGTTGGGCACCATCCATTTCTTCTGGTCTCATGGCAGAAGAGGCAGTTGTCCATGGAAGCCATTAGCCATGCACTTGATAATCCTCCTATTCCTCACTCTCTGTTACTCCAGGCAGATAGAGGCCAATTGTTGTGCCTTGGAAGGCCGCTTGCAAGCTTTTGAGACCCCAGGCACTACGTACAGAAAAAGGAGGTAGAACAGAAGCACTAACACAATATTAGGCCAGTTAACCAGGATGGCCCATGAAGCTTTTTTAATTGCTAATCGTTTTTTTAATTGCAATAGTTATTTTCCCATCAAATTTATGTACCTGTTTGACTGTTCTCTATTCCTAGCCATTTAGTGAAAGATTTTTTTCTGTTTTAGGAACACAACAGTGGTAGTTTCCCTCTGCATAACCTTTTTCTCAAAAAATCAATTTTAAAGAAATACTGTCATTTTTCATCCTTAACATACTAGGAATTCAAAATAGAAATGGTATGTCTTTATATGTGGTTCCTAGGATGTTTGTTAATCAAATATTCAAATATGTCACAACGCATCAGGATCTAACTGCTGCTTCATATATATAAAAAAGTTGTTAGATATTTTCATACTAAAATATTCAGATTATGTTTACCACCTCTCTGTGTATTATTTACTGGTTTAATTTTTTCTTTTGTACCTATATATATATATATTTTCTTTAATCAAAGTAATACATGACCTTAGTTTTAAAAAGTCTGGTGGTACCAGAGGGTATACCAGATACTTGCATTCTCTCACTGCACTTACACTTCAGTGTAAGACTACTTGGTCTCATCTACATTTTGTGTATAAGGAAGGTTTTTGATTGTAGAAATGGCATCTGCCTCCTCTAACTTCACAAAGGGGAAGAAAATCAAGATCCATAGCCCAAGGCTGATTCCTGTGAGGGAGAGGTCAGACATGCCTCTGCACTCCAACCTTTTTTTTCCAGTTCTAACATCAGCAGGCCCTCCTATGATGCTCTCTGCTTCTCTGTTGAGTTCAGTAATTCCTTGAAATGGCCACACAGAACTCACTGACAGTGCTCACAACTATGGGGTTTATTAGGGAAGTTAACAGATTACAGTTCAGGATCAGGAACAACTTGTGATATAGTTCTTTGACCATGACTTCCTTTTCTCAGTGGTGTCTGCAGGCATGCCTCATCTCAGGCTCTTGGCCTCTCAGCTCTGTGATCCCTTGGCCTTTGCCCTGATCCTGCAAGTGTTAGAAAGCTCTTTTAGCTTAGCCATTAAGTGCCCAGAGGTACCTCACTCTTTCGGTAAGCTTTGGAATGAAGACAGTTACCTCTAATCATCCATGGGTTGGCAAACTTAGTTCCACCAAGTGCCCAGAAGCACCTGACTCTACCAGCAGGCCTCCTGCCCAGAGGCCCTCACCTTTCTTCCTACCTGGGTCTAGAAGCCCATAGCACTGTCTCTTGCCAGTCTCCTGGTTCTGGTGCCTCTGCTAGCTCTTTTTGGCTGCTACCACTTCTTGCTGTCTGTCTGGTGTTAAAGTTTTCTGTCTCCTGGATTGAGGAGGGTCAGCACAGAGATCTGGGTTCAAAGGACACACTGTACTCCTGGCTCTTCTTTCTTGATAATACCGAGATTCCCTCTTCTTGCCTCTGGAATGGCTCATTTTAAGGCTAAACCAAACCAAACCAAACTTATTGCCATTGAATTGATTCCAACTCCTACCAATCCCTATAGGGTTTCCAAGGCTGTAAATCTTTACAGAAGCAGACTTCCTTATCTCTCTCCCATGCAACAGCTGGTGGGTTTGAACCAGTGCCCTTTTGGTTAGCAGCCAAATGCCTTAACTACTCCACCACTGCTCCTTTCATTCTAAAGCTAGCGGGATGGCAAAACTGACAAATTCCCATGTTAGGGTTCCATATCCCTTATTTGCATGGTCTCACCCCCACAAAGGTGCCTTGCCCCTTATTTACATTACTAGGAAGCTATCGAATCCCCTTGGTGGGCCACAAGCACCTTACATTTGCATAGTCCCTCTCAGTCATTTGATCAGAGTTATAAAGACTAGGTAGAAGGACCATATTAAGTAATTCACTGCCCACTATGAGAAACCAGCTCACGACCCACAGAAAACCAAGGGTATTTGAGTGAAAGAGAAAGGAGAAAAGAGAAGAGTTTTTCATTCAAAGACCTAGACCTGCCATTTTGGTTGAGTTCCACATATTACACTGCTTATTACCTGGTTCCTGCCTCAGTGGCAAGGCAGATACAGTCAAAAACTTTTGGTACTAAACTACTAGTTGGCAGTTGGCCATATCAATTAAAAAGTAAAACATTTTTAGTTCAGGATGCAGCATTTATAGTTCTAGGTGGTTCCTTATAAGAGTTTTTATTGAGGGAACTGTGGTAGTTAAGGTTGTGTGTCAACTTGGTTGGGCCACGACTTTGAGTAGCTTGGCAGCTGGATGCAGTTGTTCCCCATGATGAGATTGGACTTGGTGTAATCAACTCCATGGTGGGATCTGCTGTGAGAAGTTAATCAGTAGAAAGGGAGCTGCCTTTGGGGTGTAGCCTGCTTCCAGTATATACGGAGCTTTGAGAAAAATCTCTAGTTTTTTGGCACATTTGGATAACCAGCAGCCTGCCGTGTTTCCTGCCAATCTTGGGATTGTGCCATTTTACCTGTCGATCTTGGGTTCATCAGCCTCAGCAGCCAGCAGTTGTGTGAGTCAGAAGAAGCCTTTAGCTTGCTCCAGTGGGCCTAGATCAAGAGGCAGAGCTGAAGCCAAAGGTAGAGGGGCCTCCACCCGGCCCCTAGAGCTGGCACTCTGAACTTGGACTTCTAGCCTCCTAAACTGTAAGAGAGGGAGCTCTGGTAGCATAGTGGCTAAGACACTTGCCTGCTAACCAGACGGCTGGCGGTTCAAACCCACCAGCCACTCCTCGGAAGGAAGGTTGGGCAATCCTACTTCCATAGTGATACTGCCTCGGAAACCCAAGGAGGGGTCGCTATGAGTCAGGGCTGACTCGACGGCACATAACAACAACAACAACAAACTATAAGAGAATGAATTCCTGTTTGTTAAAGCCATCCATGTGTGTTATTTCTGTTATGGTTGCACTAGGGAACCAAGATAGGCACCTAGTAAATATACGAGGCTACAAAGTGACTGCTGACCCTCAGAAACCCGAGCATCTTCCCACACATCTCCTCTACCTTCTCATTGCTGCCACTCAGATAGTGGATGTTGGTTGTAGGACTGAGGTTGTATGTGTTTGTTGTAGGAAACAGTGACATTCAAGGATGTGGCTGTGGCTTTCACTGAGGAGGAGCTAGGATTGCTGGATTCTGCCCAGAGGAAGCTGTACCAAGATGTGATGATGGAAAATTTCAGGAACCTGGTCTCAGTGGGTGAGGACAAGTACTTTCTGGAGGGTCTTTGTATCTTTGGGCTTTTAAGACTGTGGAGCTCTTGAAATGTTTCCTTGAGCTTGGGGACCTATCTTTCCTAATTTCTATGGGACACGGAGATAGGATGTTTTTAGTCTTTGTGAATAGGATATTTCTGGTCTTTATGTGTTATTTAAAAAAAGTAAAAAATTATAAATGGACAGTATACTGCTATAGCTTGTATCCATTTTCTCACATTTCACTAGGAGCTCTGGTAGTCTAAGGCATTTGACTGCTAACCAGAAGGCTTGCCAGCCTTCTCACATTTCAGTACTGACCCATTAATGAGTCAATAAGATAGCATAGTGCCTAAGGCATTTGACTGCTAACCAGAGGCTGGTGGTTCAAACCCACCAGCCATTCCTCAGAAAGAAGATTGGGCAATCTACTTCTGTAGTGACACTGCCTCGGAAACCTGAAGAGGGGTCACTATGAGTTAGATCCGACTCGACAGTAGTAAGTTTTCTTTTACTTGTAAATTTTAGTGAAACAGAATAAAATAGAAAATATTAGAGCTCCTTAGGAGGAACAGAAAACAATGCAGCAAAAACTTTTGTCAATTGTATGAATGGAGTAAGAGCCAGTGGGACAAGATTAAATGATAATAAATATTGGTTAGCAATAAGTCTTTTAACCTTTGTTTTAGTAATACGTATTTATGCATATGTGTCTGGGTCATGATAAAAATAAGTGATATTTCATTAAATAGATCATGATGAAAATATGTGTGGAAAACACGGGTTTTGACGTCTTGAAGAGTATGCAGTTGAAACTCAAATTTCCAGTAATTTTTATGTTTAGTGTACTCATTATAAATATGTTACTTTGCATGTTCACAGGGGATCAACCCTTCAAAAGAGATATATTGCATATAGAAAGAGGAGAGAAGCTTTGGATGATGAAGACAGCAACCCAAAGAGAGAGAAATTCAGGTAAGAACCAAGCTTTGTTAGTCCATCACAGTTAACTGCCTGTCTGTTTGCTTCTTGCTACCCCTATTGCTGTCTAAATCACCACGCTTCTTTCCTGGATTGTTTTAACAGCTACAAAAAGGGCAAGGAGGCCACAACTCCTGACCTCCTCTAACCACACAAGAGGAAGACAGTCACCATCAGTAACCCAAGGCCTATTACTACAAAGCCAGACATGCTGCTTCCTTCTACCCCTTTCACTAACCGTTCCTCCCAAAGCACCCACCACCTACCTCTCTCCTGGGTTTGATAATTCACTGCAGTGGCCACACAGAACCCACAGATTATGGGGTTTATTAGGGAAGGCTACAATTCAAGTTCAGGGAAAACACTCAGTCTCTTTCCCAACCCACAGTCTCTCTCCCACCAGTGAGTGTCCCTCGGTGTCTCACTCAGCAATGCATGTCTCCTGCATCTCTTTTCCAGCAGTGTGTGTCTCTTTCAGCAGCACATCTTCCTCAACCAGCAGTCAGAGAAAGACTTCTGCCTCTAGGAGGCCTCCTTTTGAGCCTGGCAGAGTGGCCAAACAAGCCAATCAT